TTGCAGATTTGAAATTCTTTGTGGATATGAACGCATATTGTCCAAAATGCCGGTTAACAAGGTCAAGACATTGCAAATATAATAATGATATTTAGTTGTAGCCGACTTTGTTTGATTGCAGAGGAACTCGTGTGTTTTCCCCCCCTCAGAAATTGGCGGTGGTTGAGCTTGTACAAATCACCATAATAGCTTGAAATAGTGGTTTGTTGGTTTGGCTTAATCTCTAACAATTATTATACTAATGCTTCAATATGACTGTTAAGTGCACGTATGTTTTGAACCAAATGATGGCGGACCAATAAAATCAGCTTAGGATGATCTTTTCTAGGATGAAAACAAATTAAGAATCAAGGAAGAAATTTTTTAGCTAGCAGTGAATTATATTTTTCTTTTTTTTAAAACTAGTGATGTGGTTATGTAGTAATCAAAGGTACCTGTTATTATGAGATTAAATATAATAGAGGATTTTTACATCAAAATTACCTTTACTTTTACTCAAATTGATACTTATCACCTTTAAGGTTTTTTTTTATGTAAACCACCATTACTTGCTAACATCTTCGTAATGTCACACATAATCTAGTTTTTAGCCAAAAAATGCGTGAAATGACCATTTTACCTTCGCAATTTTCTTATTTTTTTCATCTCCTTGCTCACAAACCCAAACCCTCGCCTCCTCATCCTCCACTTCTCCCCATCTTGTTGGATTTGGGGGTGTAGATCCAAACCTAGGAATAAAATCAGCACACAGCAAAAACCCCTGATCGGTCGACCGAACAAGCCCATCAGTCGACCGATTCGACTAACAGGAAAAAGCTGAGAAAAATCCTCTGGTCAGTCGACCAATAAGAAATATTCGTCGACCGATAATGTTCACAAAGCAGACTGCGGAAATTTTTCTATGGTCAGTCAATCGATGCAAGTGCATCGGTCAATCGATAGCAGGTCAAACGGTTTCCTGGTCCGGTTGGGAGTTATGGTTTGTATAAATATAAGGGGTGTTTGGCTATTGTTTTGTGCACGGTTTTGCATATGTTGGTTTCCCAGTCTGATTTGGATTTAGGGTTTATAAATATATTCTTATGTATCCTGAAAAATAAGAAGAGATCTCACACACACACACACAACACACACACACACACACACACACACACACACAGAGCCGTTTGCAAGCTTTGTAATCTTCATAAATAATCAAAAGAAATTCTGGTGTGGCTCTTGAGAACGTAGGCACGATTGCCGAACCTCATTAAAATTCTGGTGTTCTCTTCTTTACTTGTTCTTTCCTACATCTTTTGTTTTTTGCTGTGATTTCTTGCTGTGATTTCTTGCTTGCTATTTGTTCGTCACAAGATCCGAGGGCACGTTGCGTGGAGCTTTTAGACAAGTTGTCGATAGAATAACCTAACAACTGGTATCAGAGCAAGGTTCGGCATAGATCTGTGTGAAAGCTATAGCAGAAGAAGGCAAATCGAAGATTGAGAAGTTTGATGGATCAGACTTTGCCTATTGAAAGTCACAAATGGAGGACTATATGTACCATAAGGATCTTTACCATCCGTTGATGGGTAAAGCGAAGGGAAAGAAGAAGGAGGAAACAGACGAGGACTGAGAAATACTAGATCGGAAGGATCTGGGACAGATCCGGTTGTCGCTCGCAAAGTCAGTCACCCATAACATATTGAAGGAGAAGATGACGGTGGAGCTTATGGAAGCGCTTGCAAAGATGTACGAGCAACTGTCAGCTACAAACAATGTGCATCTCATCAAGACACTCTTCAACCTCAAAATAGCAAAAGGCTATTCTTTCACATTGCATCTTAGTGAGTTCAACACGATTGTTGATCAGCTTATCTCAGTCGACATCATGTTTGATGATGAAGTGCAAGCCCTACTGATACTATCGCAGTTACCTGATAGTTAGACAGGTTAATTACGTGACTGCAATTAGCAACTCGACAGGAAAGGAGAAGTTAAAGCTGAGCGAGGTTGTGAGTATGATTTTATCCGAGGAGGTTAGAAGAAAGTCGGCCGAATCAGATGTTCAAGTTCAGCCCTAAGTTTCGAGCAGAGAGGGCGAAACCAAAATAAGGGTCACCAGAATAGGAAGTGGTCAAAATCGAAGAAGAAGAGGTCGAACTCGAATGTGAGGCCTATCAAAGGGAAGTGTTGGAATTGCAGCCAGGAGGGCCACATGTCTTTAGTCTGCAAAGCGCTAAAGAAGGATACAAATGAGCAGAAGGCTCATATTATGCAAGATGCCTTGACCCTTGCTATAGATAGTGACACTGATTCATGGGTTTTTAATTTGGGAGCCTCATTCCATACCACTGCTAATAGGAAACTTCTTCATAAGTATGTAGTAATGGACTTTTGGAAAGTGTACTTATGAATAACAAACATTATAGTATTATGGGAAGAGGTGATGTGCAGATAGAGATAAAGGGTTCTAAATGATCTTTGAAGAATGTCAGACATGTATCGAAGCTGAAGAGAAATATTATTTTAGTTGGCCAGCTTGGAGCGGAAGGCTATGTTTCGACATTTATCGGGGATTTGTGGAAGGTCTTCAACGGTGCTATGGTGGTTGCTCATGGTAATAAAACTAGAACTCTCTACTTAACTTCACATGCGAGTGACACCCTCATAATTGCAGATGCTAAGGAAAGTACAGATCTATGGTACAATTGGTTGGGACATATGAGTCAGAAAGGTATGAAGATTCTACACTCACAGGGAAAGCTATCCGGCATCGATTCAGTTAAAGTTAGTGTTTTTAAATATTGCATCTACGGGAAGCATAAGAGAGCCAGCTTTCAGAAGAGTGGAAGACTATCCAAAGCGCACAAGCTAGAGCTTGTTCATACAGATATATGGGGCCCTGCTAGCGTGTCTTCTCTTGGCGGTTCGACGTACTACGTCACCTTTATCAATGATCACTCGAGAAAGGTGTTGGTATACTTCATGAAGCACAAGTCAGAGGTGTTTGGGATCTTCAAGAAGTGGAAAACCATGGTAGAAAATGAGACAGATCTGAAGGTGAAGTGCCTAAGATCAGACAATGGTGGAGAGTATGAGCTGGAGGAGTTCAAGAAGTTCTGTGGTCTGAATGACACTGCTGGATTTTTACCTTTTAGCAACGGACATTTCCGTCGCTAAATGTTGATTTTCCGTCGCTAAAAAGTTTTAACGACGGAAAAAATAAAATTCCGTCGCTAAAAGTTCGACACTACATTTGGGGTCCCTAAAAACAGTATTAGCGATGGAAATTCCGTCGCTAATTTTTAGCAACGGTTTATTAGCGACAACAATTTGGTCGCTATTAAAAAAATATATAAAAAAATATTAGCGACGGAAATTCCGTCGCTAATACTTTTTAGCGACGGAAATTTCGTCGCTGCCTCAAAAGTTGTCATCTTCAGCTTAGAGAAAGAGGTGTTTCGTGATTGAGTTTGTCAATTTTACATATATTTTCAGAACCTTTACCAGTTAAAATTTTGCAAGGATAAGAGTATAATCATTCTAATGAAGAATTCTGATTTCTCTCCGCTTGTGTTTACTCATTTTGTCTACAGACTACAGTGTATCTTTGCAATGTTGCATTTAACCGTGATTAAATCATAGAGATTAAACATCAATAAGAGCGGAAGCTATACCTGAATCCATTGCTTGGATATAAAGAAGGGTTTTGATGATCTTCTAATCTTAGGGTTTCTCCTTATGTATCTCTTTAGATGGGGATAAGAGAATAGAGAAACACTACAAGAAATTACATCTTTAACGAAGGGATTTCCCTTCGTTAAAGAGCTGAAAACCTTCGTTATTGTATGCTAACGACGGGAAAAAATCCCTTCGTCACCCGTCGTTGAAGCCCTCTTCGCTAAAGGGTCACGACGGGATATACTACCCGTCATTATAGAGTCTATAACGACGGAACATATTACCGTCGTTAATATTTACGACGGTAATTATCACCGTCGTTACTATCAGTGACGGGGATATTTTCCCGTCGTTACCATCAGTGACAGGATATTTTTAGAGTCTATAACAACGGAATATATTACTGTCGTTAATATTTGCGACAGTAATTATCACCGTCGTTACTATCAGTGACGGGGATATTTTCCCGTCGTTACCATCAGTGACGGGATATTTTCCCGTCGTTACCATTAGTTACGGGGATATTTTCCCGTCGTTACTATTAGTTACGGGGATATTTTTCCGTCGTTGAAGACTAATTAATGACGGTTGGATACCGTCGTAAAAGTCTTCATAATAGGTAATTAGTAACCCATTAACGACGGTGCTTTCCCTTCGTTGATGAACAAAATACGGTTTATAAAATCGTCATTATAGACTACAAATTTCTAATATACGTTAATAATAAATTTTCCATTCATAGGCAACGACCATATTATTCTCAACCTGAAATTAAGATTCACAACACAAATATATTAAAAATACCCAATAATGAATAAAAAGGATCATACAAATTTCATTCATTAATAACATCAATAAATAAAATTCCACCATCCTCAAATATTCAATACTAATAACAAAAGTTAATATCCTAATTGTTCTAAAGAAAAATACATGAAACTATCTATAACAAATTAAAATAAAAGTTTGGGGAAGACACATTCTTTCATCTCTAATCATCGTCAAAAGAAGACGAGCTACCCCACCTCTCCTAATCTTGCATGGATAGCCTGAAAATTTAAAAAAAAATTACATAATTAAGAAATATCAATTAAACAAATATTATCTTATTAAGTAAAATTCATAATTTTTAGTGCAAGTAGTCAATCACAAAAGTATATAAGAGATTTTCCAAAAAATAATTACCTAGTCCTGCACATGTTCTCGAGTTTGAGGAGTCAATGAAGGTGATTGCCTAAAAATCTCGAGTTTGAGGAGTCAATGAAGGTGATTGCCTAAAAAAAAGTTCTTGCATAGCTTTCACTTGTGACTCCAACTATTGCCTAAAAAAAAGTTCTTGCATAGCTTTCACTTGTGACTCCAACTCAGACATCCTTTGTTGTTGTTACTCCTGCTCATCTAAGCGTTGTTAAAGCATCTGATTCTTTTTCTTTTCTTCTATAACACATGCTTATTCAAATATTAAATAAAAATGAGTACAACATCGCACTAAAAAACAATGTAGTTTTAAATAAGTAGGAAATTAGTTTTGAATGTATACGAGTTGCTATGCAATTTGTTTAAAGGTTTAAATACATACCAGCCGTGCTGAAATAAATCCCTTGTCAAGGATGAGAGGGACATAATTTGGACCACTTGTGGGAACAACACTAATAACCCAAACAGATTTTCCTGCATTTAACAGTGCAGCATAGAACCCGCCTAATCGAGCATTCATGTCAAACACATTTCTGAGCATGTTAAAAGGTGGAGAGGGATCCTCATCACCAGGCCTCTTTGGATGATCCGAGAAAATCAGAGGTGAAAGAAGAGACCAATAGTTGCGAACAGCAGAGTTCCAATTTAATGCGTCCTCGGCTAAGTCCTTTGAGTGCAAATTTGATGAACGAAAAATAAAATTGTCAATCGGTGTAAAAAGAAATTACAGTTTAAACTAAGATCATTTCAAATTACCATGAATTGCAAGTTCAGTTGAGTTTGGATTAACCCGAGAAAAGTCTGTCCACTTAGACCAAGAAACTATCATCTGCATCAGTCAGTTCAAATGTTATTTATTCAACTTCATAATGCAAGATTCAAGATAAGCATTTCCCAACAAAAAAATATGCTGGATCCACTGTTACATAAGAATTGTTAGTATCTTAATGAGCATGTCATGATCAAAGCAAATGATTTAGTATCCAATTCAGTGAGGCATATTCACATTATAAGCCTACTTCATTGAATCTAAACATTTGTCTTAAGCTGATGTAATCTCTCTTATTGACCAATATGGGATATGTTAATGGTGATATTTTTAATGCATAGCTTACCAATTCACATGTAGGTCCAACTATGCCTATAAAGCAATCATGCCCTGTTTACGTGCAAGGATACATATCATATCGAGTCAGTTCTATACATGAGCCTCTGCTACTAATTTTTATGTAGACACACTATTTTTCTATTTTGAGGTCTTTAATATCCCTTCCCAAGTTTTCCCACATAGTATATTTGTCCTCAACACCCTCCTTCCTGGCCTAAAATAGATTCAAGCCAAGTGTTTGTACCAAATCCTCATAATATTTTTGTGTTTGATCAATGCTAATTTGCCAAGTTCATAACATATAAGCGCATACAAGTGGATATAGCATTTCGTGCTGTACTGATACCTAAATTATGATAAAATCCTGTGTCTGACATACCCAGATGAACCTATGATACTGTATCCATCTCACCAAAATATAGATAAGTTGAAAAGTATTGTACCTTACGATAAAATAGGTAAGACCAGAAAAGGCCATTACAGTGAAACTTTTAATAACATGAGTAAAAGTTAAATGCACAAATCAACTAGTCGAATGATTGATCAGTAGTTTTGCATTCAACTGAACCAGAAACGAAGTCAATCATCTAGAATTTACCACAAAGTCTGAATAAGAAATAAAGTATAAGAGAAAAAACATACCATTCTTCTCCCAGTCGATTCCACATCTTGCACACTCTAATCATCGTCAAAAGAGAGGTATGGGAATGGCAAGTGTCTTGATGCAAATGAACCAACGATGGCAGGTAGACCTCTCTCAAGAGTAAGTTGAACTTGACTACCTGAGGGCTCGTAGTTTGCGATGCACATTGTTAGAAGCTGTTTTGAGAAAAGATGCTGAACTTGACTACCTGAGGGCTCGTAGTTTGCGATGCACATTGTTAGAAGCTGTTTTGAGAAAAGATGCACTCCTAAGCTGTCGAAGCCACACCCAATATCTAACACAGTTCCAACCTGCACCATTTTGGCGGTCAATATTAAATCACATTTATGTCTTAACATATATGAAAAGAAACTAAATAGGAATCAAAAGGGAAAAATGATAAAACTTGAGACATGCTATAAAAGGGAGAAAATCTTTGAGTTGAACTGATTAAGAATTTTTAGATAGCTAAGAAAACTAAAAGAAAAGCAAACAAGATGACAACAAAGTACGTAATAACTTGAGGCACATAGCAATTCAAAATGTAGGTTTTTCGAAGTGTTAGCCCTCAACCGCTGATCTGTTTCCAACACAAGAAGCTAAAACAAGGTATACATTATTTAGCAAACTAAGCAATGCCACAGTTAAAGACGGCATAAGATCTTAAACTGCATTTGCAGAAGCTTCATTTGATGGGTTGAGTCGACCTTCTGATGGTATAAAGACGGCATGAGAACTTAAACTTATTTCCTTTATTGTTCTTCTTCCAACCTTCTGATGGTGTAAATAAAAACAAAATGGATGTATGTAATACACTAAATTCACCCATACTTGCTCCAGCTTAAAATATAGTTAAACTAAATAATGAACTCACCCCAGCCTCATTGAAGTTTGACTCATGTCTCAGCCCAACCATCTCAGCTATCTGATGTGAGTAGTCTTCTACCCCATCAACCATAAGCGAATCTGACCTCAATTCACCTAGACATTCCACCTGCAGCAGCTAGATAACCTCAATTCAACAGATATTACGAAAAAGTAAATTTTCAACCTGGTGAATAATTTAAAGTTGACGCTCAGGGGTGTCTGTTAATTTTTTGTTAGCTTATATATGATATTAATAATATATGAGCTGCTTCTACTATTTGTAATTTAGTATTCAACAATGGAGCGATAGAATCTATTACGAACAAGAAGATATATAATTGATAGTTCTCTCACCTTGAATAGAAGAATGAAACTTCAATTCTACAGTCACCAAAAGAATTGTAGGGTAGAAGCATAGTTGAACACAGTGCTTGTGATGCACTGAATGCACTGAAACCTACACTTTCCTTCGGAGTATTATGGACTTAGCACAATCCTCTACTTCTAAGGTCCTGCCTTGGTCCCTCGCCGTCCTTGGATTTTTCTGAACTATGTATACAAAATCAAACACAAATCTTATAAGAACACTCTTTGTACGAATAGGATGTTCCAAAACATAAATTTGGAACTGCCCCTCTACTCTACTCGTGAATGACTAAGAACATCCTGCTAAATACTCCAGAATCCAATAATTTTGACTATTTAACATGTTTGTGCTTAATTTGTTTTCTTCTATTGTTTATTTTGTTCTTGTTATATTGTTTATTTTGTTCTTGTTAAAGAAACATCGATAGAAAAACAATCAATAATATAGTACCTGTTGATGTTGCACGGGATGCCCATTCTTCAAGTATGGAGTGCTCAAGAGCTAAAATCATACAAAATATCAAGAATTGAGAAATGGGTTGATTTTATTTTTCAACCAAAATGTAACTGCTATATCTTAATTAAGAGGACAATTAATTAAGCAAAAAACTTACACTGACTTGCTCATGTAGGAACTTAATGTATTCAATTGCCTATGAAGAACTGATGTTGTATCAGTCTGCATATAATAACAAAGTTAATTAACCAAGGAAGTTAATGAAACTAAAAGATGAAAGAAGAAGGAAAATGTATATCATCTATCCAAAAGGCGAAACCAGTTGCTGGAGTGCGGTGATTCTGTCCCCTAATTTCTTATTTCTAACCTACAACCATAAAAACCCTAAAAGCTATCACCACCAATTTTAAAGAAAAGGAAAAAAAAGGATCAAAGCTGCAATCAATTGAAATCTACACGAAATCCATCCTTACTTTAAAGGTTGGCAAATGCGATGGTGCTTCTAGTCGAGTTAAGTTAAGAAAAATAACAGAGTGAATCGAGAATTTAGATGAGGCATTTAAACGAACAGGTAGAGTGCAGCGCAAACATGCATACCTTTACCTGAAAATGATGGAGACACGAGCAGTTTCGAAGCTAGAAGAGGAGAATAAGAGATGTCATCCGCTGAAATCCCGCCATGCGATCATCTTTCTTTTACCTCTGGATTTGGATTCAGGGCGTCCTTGCTCTTTCACCGACCATCTCTTCCTTGTGGTAAGCCTGTTTTTAATTGTGGCGGTGTTCGACGACGAAGATGTCTCGACGGCGTAGGGATCTCGACCACGAACTAAAGATGATGATGAACTGGACTTCGAACTGGAGCCGACAACGAGTTCGAGACGACGACGAATCTCGACGTCGAACTGGAGACGAGCTGGAGATGATGACGAGCAGGAGCCGACGATGAGCTTGAACGACCACGAGTAGGAGCCGACGACGAGCGGGAGACACACGACAAGATGGAGACGGGCGATGGTGATTTTTTTAAACTAGGGTTTAATTAATATTGCGGCGGCTCTAGGGATGATTAGGAGTAGTTATGGGGGATTTTGGATTTCAGGTTTCGGATTCTACTTGGGGCTTTGGGGATTTTGGTTGTGGGTTTTGTTAATTAATAGTAATAGGTTAATCTATCAGTCCTATTATGATTAGGAGCATCATTAATAACGGTAATGGACCCCTTCATCTTTAAGGAGACCTAATAACGACGGTATTAGGATCAAATCAATGAAGGGATTAGAAAACCGTTATCCCATCTCACATTATTCCTCTAATTTTTGTAATCACTTGACGAAGGCTTTTAAAACCCGTCGTTATTATATGCACATTAATGACGGTTAACTGGCCCCTTCACTAATTTTGGTCGTTAAATACCAGATTTCTTGTAGTGTCATATTTTCATGTTTTGAACTATTTTGCAAAATGATGATTTTTCACAAATGGGAAATGCAATTTGGAAAATTCTTTTTGTAACATGTTCATTTACATGTTTATATATATTTCCCAAAGTTTCATAATTTTCAGAAATCAAATGAATATTTTACAAATTGTTTAAATATGTCAAAAACTTATTTTTTATATATGTCAGTTTTCGGTCGACCGAACCGGTCGACCGAACCTGAGTTCATATGTTTTGGGTGTTTTTGGCTGAGCTTTGAGTGGGTATATATACCCCATTGCTGATGTCTTTTCAAGTTAACTAAGAGAGTTTTTAATCAAGTTTAATAAAGTTTTTAACAAGGGTTTTAGTTTGGTTTAAGTGTGTTTAAAAAGCTTTTAAGCAAATTGAGAGTTTGTTTTTGTGATTCAATTCTACAAGAGCTTGAGGAGATCATCTATTGGTGTTTGGGCATTCAACTATTCTCCCTCCAACTCTTGATATATTGAGAAGTTTTCTAAACTCTATTTCTAGCTTTTTTATATATTTGATTATCATTGTTATTAAGCTAGAACTACATTGAGTTTAGTTTTGATTTATATCTCTTTGTTCACACACAACCTTTTGAGCTTATTGTATTTACATTCATAGTATAATTTAGGGTTGTGGGTTTGTGACATTGAGAGTGAGCTTAATTGAGTTCTCACCTTGTTTTGAGAACAATCATTTGTCATATTTGTGCTTATTGTGAGAATCACTTTGTAATACACTTGTACACCGAGTGAGGAGTGTGTGGTGAGAGTCGGGGATCGTCCCAAGAGGAGTGGCGTCGGTTGACGTGCCTAGGGAGAGGTTGTAACCGAGCACTTGAGGGAGACACGGCTAGGTCCAACACTTAGTGGGTGTAGAGTGTGATTGCAAGAGTGTGAGTTGTAGAGTTTTCGGTTAGCTAGAAAACCGAGTGTGTAGAAGAAGTTCCGGCTTTCAAACCGGATTGTGTTAGTGGATTTCTCCCCGGGAGTGGGGAGCGGAGACGTAGGACGGAAGGTCCGAACTCCGTGATCATATTGCTTGTTTGAGTGTGCTTTGGCGTTCATTCATATTTATGTTCATATCTTATATCGCCATTGTCATTAGCTCATTATCTATATCATCCACTATCTTATTTAGATTGTTTATCATTGTGTAGTTTATATATCCTTGCATATATATATTCATCATATAGGATATATCTCTTTGTTTGCATTGCTTATCCTAGCTTATATATCTTGTGGTATTTCATATTTGCTAGGATAACTTGTTAATTAATTTTAATTGGTATTTAATCGGATTAGATTAGCATAAGGCCCTAATCACCCCCCCTCTAGGGTCTAACAGTTCCGGCTTTCAAACCGGATTGTGATAGTGGATTTCTCCCCGGGAGTGGGGAGCGGAGACGTAGGACGGAAGGTCCGAACTCCGTGATCATATTGCTTGTTTGAGTTTGGCTTAGCACACTTATATTTGTTCATCTTTATAGCCTTTCTCTCATTGTTTATTTCATCCACTATATCATTTGTTTATGTTACCCTTGTGTTTGCATATCCTTGCATATATCATATAGTATACCTCTTTGCTAGGATATATCACCTTGTGTATATTGCATATTCTTGCATATAACTCTTTGTATATTTATCTTGCAAGAATATATTTGTTAATTAATTTTAATTGTATAAAATCGGATTAGATTAGCATAAGACCCTAATCACCCGCCCTAGGGTCTAACAGTTTATCCATAATGGACTTGTATCAAATATGAAAGTAACCGAGGACGTATGACATACACTTCATCTTTTTTTTTAATCTCCCATTACATATTTGAAGAAACACTTTAAAAAAAATCCATGTCTTCCGTGAAAAGGGAAAGAAGTGAAGGATTAATTTATTGCATGCCCTTAAATATGAACTGTGTAGTTGCACAACTTTTGTAGTGATTAAAAGCTGTTTGTGCATGCAGTTAATTCAGATAGGGGTTGGCGCTGTAATAAAGTGTATGTATATACTGCTGCATTATGTGTCGTCTTTAATTTATTGATATTTATGGTTTGGCTCTGATTACGGTAGTATACTGGATCTGACCGCTAGCTACGTCCAGTTGGAATGAGAATTAATTAAACCAAGCATGAAGTGTTTTTGCTTAGTTGGTTGTTGATGTGTCAATTGGCCATATAAGTAGCGAGTTTAGGTATATGGGTCATGTTTTATATTTAGTGTTATTTGAATATACATAGGACTAGGCCTGTCCATCCGGACCGGCCCGGTCCCGATATCCGGGCCCGGGCCGGGCAAAATCATAGCACGGACCCGGACCCGGACCCGGATACCTCAGGCCGGGCCCGGGCCCGACCAGGCCGGGTTTCGGGCCCGACCGGCTTATTTTCTTTTTTTTTATTTTTTATCAATTTTTTTTATTTTTATTTAAATTTTTAAATTATAAAAAAAGACAAAAAATTAATAAAAAATAATAATTTTATTAATCACTTAAAATGATATAAATTATAAATAAAAAATTATAAAAATAAATTCTTTATTATCACTTAAAATGATATAAATTATAAATAAAAAATTATAAAAATAAATTCTTTATTAATAATTAATAAATCATTTACAAATTACTAAATTCTTTATTAATAATTAATAAATCATTTACAAATTACAAGTATAAATTTATTTTGGAATTCATCGGATCACAATAGATAAGTACATCTCAACTAGGTTTTTTAAAATTTCTTTTCTTTTTTTATAAAAAATACTAATAATTAGTTTAATATTATTATATTTTATATAATTATGTATTAGTATATACTTACAAATTATTATGTAACTATATATTATATATACATATATTATATGTAAATATATTGTATATATTTATAAGTTATAACTTAAGAGAGAGAGAATCGCATAAGTAGTCGTTGCCCGATGGGCCAATGGGGAAAAAGTAGCCGTTATAATATACTATACTTATATATACTTATATACTAAGAGAGAGAGAGTATAGACACACACATATTATACATATATAAGAGAGAGTATACTTATATAAGAGGGAGTATACATATATAAGAGAGAGTATACTTATATATACTAAGAGAGAGAGTATATTATACACACATATATTATACATATATAAGAGAGTGTATACATATATATACTTATATAAGAGAGAGTATACATATATAAGAGAGTATACTTATATATACATATATACTAAGAGAGAGAGTATATACATACATACATACATACATTATACATATATAAGAGAGAGTATTCTTATATATACTTATATAAGAGAAAGTATACTTATATATACTTATACATATATATACTTATATACGAGAGAGTATACTTATATATACTTATATGAGAGAAATGGAGAACATTGGTACCAAGTTGTTTAAAGCAACTTGGTAGTGATGTGACTTAATCTTGCCCTTACATCATACCTCGAAGATAGAGTCTCAATCACCCTTCATCAACTCCAATGTAGATGTAGGGATAAGATTAGGCCACATCACTACCAAGTTGCTTTGAGAAACTTGGTACCAAGTTCCTCCATTTCTCTCTATATAAAAATATATTATATATACATATATTATACATATTATATATATTTATATATACATATATTATACATATATAATACATATAAAAAAATAAAAAAAATTTACTATTCCGAACCGGGCCGGGCCCGGACCGGGCACCAAAGAGCCGACCCGGGCCCGGACCGGGCACCAAAGAGCCGACCCGGGCCCGACCCGGAGCCCGGACTTGGCCCGGGTTGCCTGACCGAGGCCGGACCGGCGGGCTTTTTGAACACCCCTACATAGGACTGCAATGTTATCGTAATTACAATCTTTTTGTAATCGGCCTTGTGAATCCTACTTCCAAGATTCATTAATAATGTAGACTTTGTTTATTTATTTTATAATGCATGCGAATCTGGCATGAGTTGATGAGACATGTCAGAGAGCGTGGAGTTACTTTGGAATCTAAATCCTAAAAATAAAAATAACGGAGAGATCATTATATATAGAGTGTTGCTAGGGGGCCAAAATATAGGACCAAGAGAGGGGATAGGTGAGGTGTCCCCTCCTTATTGCATAATAAGTTGGCATAAGTTGGCATGGCCAACTCATTATGCAATAGGGAAGGGACACCTCACCTATCCCCTCCATTGGTCCCATATTTTGGGTCCTTAAATTATTTTTCTTATATATATTTCTTTACGGTCGTTGATTTGTCAGGTGGATGAGTGTAATAGACGTTTATTATAACCTCTTGAATTACACTAATATCTTAATTTACGCTCAAAGACTAACGATTACAAATCAACATTTATAACGAGAGTGATGGTCTCTCGACTACTTTTTGTAGTGTAGAGAACCTGAATCCTCGAGTAGCAAAGTTTATCTAAGCACAAGTAAAGTATTTTCTCTATGCTACAATGCTAACAAAATTATTTGCTAATATATAGGAAATATTATACATTTTATAAAGAGAACCAGTAAGAGCGCACGTGTGTTGCGCGCTTGCTTACTATAGATGTAGTACAATATTAAAAATGTAGAGGACGATAGACATGTGTTGAGGAATATATATAGTTTGGTTTAGTTCTTGCCTCCTAGCTTGAACATGGAGTTCCGAAATA